GGGGGGGGGGGGTTGATGGTGTGATATTCTTGAATGCATTTGTAAACTTTTTGACACATAACACCCTTTTAACACATAACATCCTTTTTACTTAAGCCTAAACACTTGAAACGCAAAATCCCTTGCGATGCAAAGCTCCCTCGACGAGCCTCCTGGAAAAGAAGCCCACCGAATATCAAACCGTGGCTTATAATTGGAATTTTATTTGCATTTTCATTTGTTTTGTTTTGTTGTTTTTTTTGCAGATCACAGGCTCCTTGTCTGATGGTTTGTGGAATGCGTCAATGGACAGCAAATTCCAAGAGAGCCGTGACGCGATGAGGGCCGAGAGGTTCAGTAGCTCCAAGGATCACTTTGTGGCTGGTGTCAAGGGCCTGGGTATGGGCCTTGTTGGTGGACTCACCAGTATTGTGACGCAGCCAATTGAGGGCGCGCATAACGCTGGACTGTCAGTAAGTTCACTTTCACGTGCTTGACACGTGTGCCAGTCTGTCAGTTTACTATTGGAGAACAAACCTTAAGATAAATTTTTACCTCCTTGCTAAATGATGAATTTTAGGGAGGCGGTAAATGGCGGAAATGGATGCAGTAATATAAGAAAAGACCGCAACAGTGGATTTCGTGGCTCATCAAGACATGATTCCCTTTTGGTGAATGCCGTTGTTCTTATCGCTTGTATGCTTCAAAACGTTTTAAAATTGTGTGGGGAAAAAATTAATACGCTGTTGATTTTGTCCTGTTTCGGGTTCTACATGCAGTAAAATTTCGGACCATCGACATTAACTAAGATAATTTTAGCCAATTAACTTGTGATAGACCAAACTACTTATGAGTGAAATGTCTCTGAATCAAATCATCAGTCAATGTGTCTTTCATGTGTTTATCAGGTTACAGTCACCATTACTCAGGGCTAACCACAAACAGGATACCCTTAGCATTATTCTCGATAACCAGGATTTTAATCAGGCTTCCTAGACTCAGGATTGCCGTTGAGGGTAACCGAAAAGCTATTTAGGCTTTTTGATTCATCAAATAGGGTAGCTCAACTAGTCGTACTTTACTTTTGGGCTGCGTTAACAATTAAAACAAAACCTTTTAAATACGAGTAAACCGTTAATCTGCTAGGGTTTTTTGCCGCCGTAAAACAAAACTTTGCATCCATTTTCAGGGTTTCATAACTGGTATAGGTAAAGGAATCGTGGGAACAGTTGCCAAGCCCACCGCTGGTGTTCTTGACTTTGCATCTGGTACCGCAGCAGCAGTCCGCGGCCAGGCTACACGCAGCTCCAGGTATCTCCCGCCAAAACAAGCACGCCTGCGAAGGAATTGTTTTGGACCAAGTGGTGCTATCCCAAAGTTCACTTCAACCCACGCTGAGGGCCAGGAAATAATGTTGAAGTTAAATGAAGGAAATTTTAACGAAAAGTAAGGAAATATGTGTTAACAGTTGTTTGGTGTAACAGACTGCAATGATGTCGCTGGTCTTGCTTAAGAGTGTGAAAACGTGGAGGAGAATTGTCAAGAAAGCGAGAAAATCGAGTGTTTTTCGGGGCGTTTTTGGCTTTGCTTCCGAAAAGAAACACCTAAAGATGACATTTTCAGTTGTGGCAGTGTACCAAGATCATAGCTATCGGCATTATCTCGCTTGTATGTTTGGTTTTCTGTTTTGAAGAGAGTTCTATGGAACATGATTGAGACGACCATTAATTGCGAACATCTTTATGCTACTTACATTCTAATTTCATATGAAGAATAGAGCTGTTAAAAATTCAATTGAGTGTCGTAAAATCAAAACCAAACCAACTACTTACCAATAAGACTATTCAGCCTGCCAATCTCAAACCATGGCAAAACCAAAACCAAACTAATTGCCTGATTACTTCCGAAACTTTACCTAGACGGTCGTAGATTTGTTAATCACAATCTAACCTGTCCTTGTTTTGCTAGGTTTGTGTTGTCTGAGACTGTTAGACGTGACAAAGAGGACCGCCTGAAAGCCATCGTCACTACAGAAGGGGTGTACTTTGTACGTGCCCGTGGGACCCCCTCTCCGGAAGCTATTGTTCTGCTGGTGCGCTTTTCCGAGCTTTATGAATGCCAGCCTCTCCCCAGCGGTAAGTGCATGTCGGAGTGGGTTGGGTTAATTTGCTTGGGGGTGGGGCTTGAGCCAATGGTATTTGGACTCAAGCCTTGGTTCTGTTTCAAGTCGGGCCATTTTGGCGACTGTTTTGCACACAAACATGGCTTGAAAACATAGAATGGGCCACCATACATTTCTATGCTAGTAAGAAGCGGTAGAGTTGCCTTTGACAATATTTTGAGATTGAATACCAGTATGCCAACGCAGGCCACGATGGATGTCTCTGCGTAGCTATACCGCCTAATATAATTTCAATCACAGCAACACCAATAGTTTTAAGTGAGGATGAGGTTCACAGTTAAGCATTTTCTACCACGGTGAAGAAAGCAAGTAACCAATTTCGTGCACTTCCCCCCTTTTTTTTTCTGAGGGGGAAATGCTTGAAGTCACGTATCACCACACTGTAATATCTGTATCATTAGCTGGCAGTAGAGCCGCTTGTCCGTTAGGGTGGGGTGGGGAGGACAATAGTGCCCGCCAATCCCCATTACAGTGATGCAACCAGTGAGAATGAATCAAGTGGAAGCAAGTCGTACTTTCATTTTGCTTGTTCAGACGGCAAGGATTACATTGAGCTTGTGATGAAGGCTGATAACAGCAGTGTACCGACACCNTTTGCTAGGTTTGTGTTGTCTGAGACTGTTAGACGTGACAAAGAGGACCGCCTGAAAGCCATCGTCACTACAGAAGGGGTGTACTTTGTACGTGCCCGTGGGACCCCCTCTCCGGAAGCTATTGTTCTGCTGGTGCGCTTTTCCGAGCTTTATGAATGCCAGCCTCTCCCCAGCGGTAAGTGCATGTCGGAGTGGGTTGGGTTAATTTGCTTGGGGGTGGGGCTTGAGCCAATGGTATTTGGACTCAAGCCTTGGTTCTGTTTCAAGTCGGGCCATTTTGGCGACTGTTTTGCATACAAACATGGCTTGAAAACATAGAATGGGCCACCATACGTGTCTATGCTAGTAAGAAGCGGGTAGAGTTGCCTTTGACGATATTTTGAGATTGAATACCACTATGCCAACGCAGGCCGCGATGGATGTCTCTGCGTAGCTATACAGCCTAATATAATTTCAATCACAGCAACACCAATAGTTTTAAGTGAGGACGAGGTTTACAGTTAAGCATTGCCTACCACGGTGAAGAAAGCAAGTAACCAATTTCATGCATTTCCCCCCCTTTTTTCTGAGGGGGAAATGTTTGAAGTCACGTGTCACCACACTGTAATATCTGTATCATTAGCTGGCAGTAGAGCCGCTTGTTCGTTAGGGTGGGGTGGGGAGGACAACAGTGCCCGCCAGAGGATAACACAAAAATCCCCAATACAATGATGCAACCAGTGAGAATGAATCAAGTGGAAGCAAGTCGTACTTTCATTTTGCTTGTTCAGACGGCAAGGATTACATTGAGCTTGTGATGAAGGCTGATAACAGCAGTGTACCGACACCATCCAAGAACCCCAGTAAAAGACCGAGGGTTAGATGTGATAAAAACACCGTCGCACAAAAGGTCTGTACCGTTCGTTTCATTTGCGTTATTTTTAAGGTAATTAAGTGGACTTTCAGGCCGGCGCTCCATACATGGGGCAAGGACTGTCTAAGAGTATTTTTACTCTCGCCCTCTTGGATGGTATGCTAGTTCGTCACGGGTTAGTACCCCCTGGAATTCCATATTATTGGAAAGACGACTCACGTTCATGGCTACTTGTTTAAATCCTTCGTTTGCATATTTTTTTTTTGTTGGTTTGCTTGTTTTATCTGTCCCTAGTTTGTAAGCAATATAGCTGGTCCATCAAAAAACCTATATATCTGTAGAATGTTTGGCATACCGTTCTATGGTTATTTATGGCTGGTTTACCAGACAAACTGTTTACGTGTACAAATCTTGTTTTATGTTGCTTTCTTGCTTTGTTTCTTGCTTGCTTGTTTGTTGAAATGGCGAACAAAGCCTTTCCAAACAACGCCAGACACAGCCGAAATGTTGCAATGTACGTGATAGTAAGATTTGCCAATTCCTTCATGTTAATTAGGTGGCGCAGAAGATAAACTATGCCAAGAATCTTTATGATGAGGTACAGCAGACGGTCAAAGTGGAGCCTAAAGAACCTACCTCCCCTGTGTAGCTACAGTCAAGTTAGAGGTGAAATGCTTCATAAAGAAACAAACGCATTGAGGAGAAGTTCGGACTCCACTGACACAACGGCTCTTGCGAAGGAAGCAGATTCATACACTAGTAGCAGCGCACTGGGGAAGAGACTGGAACGAGAAGACATTTTGATTTACTGGTGTCACTCAGGGAATTCTGAATGGGTTTCTCTCATTCCCCATTTATAATTCCTTAAATGAAACCAATTTCCCAAAGACTGGAAAGTCAGTGAAGAAAATAGGAAATAAGCTTCACTGGTAGTTTCATTTTTTTTTCATAAGACTGTCACCAAGCATTTTAATGTTCAAAGCAGTTTAAAACTGCCAATCTTAGCAGCGTTTGAGCAGAGTGTAGCGTTGTTCACTTTACAAGCGTGCGCGAGAAAATAGTAAATGGCATGAAAGTTTGCAATGTTGCATTGCCAACAATTTCGTTTACAAATAATTCAATGATTCTCTGGATAAAAGAGAGGCAAGGCTTGCAAGCTAAGGTGAATCTTATACATTTTGGAATTTTACCATTTTTTCACATCAATCGTTGTAGTATTTAATGTATTAGAAAATATGTTTTGTAGATGAATGAGTAAGAGGGAATATTGTACTATTTATTCTCCTACTATTCGCCCTCGTAAGCACATGCAAGTTTGAATTCTTATTTAATGCACAGATACAATTCACAGGATGTGTCTTCAATCAGTTTTCATCAAACGTACACGTACTTCAGCGAAACTAATTTTATTTTAGGTACGAGTGCGAAGATGAAATATAATTTTGCCATTTTCAAGTTAGACAATAGTTTAGTGATTTTAGCACTTACAAGTGGTTAACTTCCGTGATCAATTTGTATGGCACAATAAAAATCGCGTGACGCAAATACCTTACAGAAGAGGTCAGTAGCACCTCTGGGGGTTTCAGAATTATTGTAGTTGGGAATAGATTATTTTTCTCAGGGAAAATGCAAATGAAATTATAATTGACATTCAGTTAAAAGACGATAGATTTATTGAATGGAATTCAATTGACCAAATGCGCCGTTTGTACAACTGTTATTACAGATTTGAAGGTTGAATATTTTAATATGGCTATTTAGAATAAAAATGAAGAAAGGGAATTGATTGTGCTTCTTGGATAACAGGCTTCGTATTCCGTGGATTCGAAATTCGAGGAGGAATTTTCGTGACAATGGATGAACAAAGGATTTCTCGTGGCGCGATGGACAGTGATTGGCGTTCTGCAGCCTAAACATCAAATTCTCACCCCCGCCCACAGCGCCCCAGTAAAAACCGGGCCGCTGTAGAAACCCACTTAGCCTGATGCCCTACCGCCTTTCCGTTACCTCTCCAAATTCCGTTCCCTTAAACTACAAATACTATATCGGCCACACGTTATATGGCCCCTATTACCCCGTCTAGTTTTCATTGAGTAAAACTGAACTGGGGCACTGTAATACCCCACTTAGCCTGCTGCTCTACTCTTCAACATCCGTCCCCTTATGCTACAAATACTGTATCGGCCACACGTTGTATGGCCCCTATTACCCCGAGTAGTTTTATGTGAGTAAAAACTGGGGCACTAATACACCACTTTGCCTGATGCTCGAATGCCTTTACGTCACCTCTCCAACACCTGTCCCCTTATATACTACAGATACTCTATCGACCACACTTTTATAAGACCCCTATAGCCCCCACTAGTGTTAAACAGGGCTTGTCCAGAAGGAATTATTTTGTTTGGCCACTTTTATCCAGCACGTTTCTCTTGGTTTTCAAGTGTCGTTATGGCTGCCATATTTGATGACAAAAACAAGATTTACTGGCTTCTTTTGTTTGTCATCCAACGTGGGCGCCAGGGATTGGTTGAATTGATTGAATTTAATTGATATTCTGATTGAATTCTCGGTTGAACAACATGCGCATTTCAGAAATTCAGCAGATCTCGAGGGCGTTTCTATTCGGCCAAAGCACTCCGTAACTTTCGAAGAGGGAAATTTCCTGGGAAAGTTTCCGGAAAAATCCGAAAACTGTTGAATTTCCGAAATACCAATTCCGGAAGTAAAATTAAATGGAACGGAATCCCCGAGTTTCCTGAAAAAATATTTCAGAAACTCTCCAAACCATTTGCTTTTCTTGTGAAGTTTCCGGAATTTTTGGTCGAAGTGAAAGTGTTCTTTGTCTTCGTACAAGTGAGATGATCTCACGATGTCTTGAAAACTTCTGTCATCAAAGGTCCACCATTTCAATCTTACGATTTCCTCAGAAAGGCACAAAATAACGAAAATTGATGTAAAATTAATCCAAAATTATTTTAGAATGTTAAAAAAATGTAATTCTGCAAAGCAGCTAAAAAATAGGGAAATCAAACAGGGAATTACGTAGAAAAAGACTCAAAGGATTTCTGGTCTATTTTTAAATTTTGAATTCTGAATTTCCATTTTGAATTTGAAAGTTAAAAATTTTCCCCTGGAAATTCAACAATTCTCGGATTCTTCAGGAACTTTTCTAATCGTTCGCGTTTCCAATGTTTCTGAAATCTTTCCCAAGAAATTTTAAATACCAGTTACCCATGAAAAAGTTCCGGAGTTACACATGCATAACGAATTTGGGCGCTTATGTTATTGTTTGTGTTTGACCAATCGCTAAGAATGGTAACCATTTTTGAAAATTAATTTATTCAAGATTTGTTGCACGAGTGAAACTGTTCCTTCGTGAAACCACGTTGTGCAGGAGTCTGATGCACGCGAAGTTTGAAAGTTTGAGCAAAGTCCAAGCTTC